AATCACTGATTAGCGCACAAATCGGCCAATTTATACCAATTAGTACAGTCAATCGGCCGATTAGTACACTGTATGAAAATTTCAAAATACATAACCTTTGGAATCGGGCCAACTCGGGATCAACCGGTGACCGATCCTGATTTAGTCGGCCAATTTTTAAAAAATCAGCTGATCTTTTGATCACTGCTTTCACAACAACAACAAGAACAATATCACTTTCTAATTAATGAGTTAATGAGTTAGACGGTGATGGAGGGAGACATGAACTTATCACCTTCTCGATGCTATTGTGTCTATACAATTCATTAATGGAGCTGTAATAATCTTATGGTTATTATGTTATTAGATGATATGGATCTCAATAGTCTTATCAGAAACAAACTAGACTAGGGATTAAGAACAATTAGATCATCGATCATAGTCCAAATTGATTCAGTTTGCTAAAAGGCCAGATCATGAAAATGCATGTAAAATTGCAACTTTTTAATGTATTTAAAAATTTTCGCTAGATTTGTCCAAGTGGTTTGGTGACCAATTGAACCACTAATCCAATAGATGGGATGATTTTCTGGTTTATTATCTAGTCCGATTCTTATAACATTGGATTAGGGGTGGTAACAGGTTGGATCCGGTTGGTTTCGAATATGAACTCGAATAGAATTTGGGTCTAGGTTTTGGATTCGGACCTGACCTTTTAGGTCCAAAATTTGTACTCATACCTAGACTCAAGGTTTAGTCTACCTGTAGGGTCCATTGCCACCATATGACTATGAGCTTCTTTTTTTTCACCTATTCTTTACTATCATATACCCGCAACATTTACAGTATTGCACAATATTTATGAATACCCACATTCCTTATTGTTTTACGTATCTATCGGAGATTCCTAAGAAACAAATGTATTGGCAAAATTTATGAATACTCACATATACCCATATTATTTGGGTCGGGTCTGGCTAGATAGGGAATCGGACCTGAATATAGATTTCGGACCCGGATCCAACCTTTCGAGTTCAAACCAAACCCCAGGTCAGGTCTATCCATTGGGCCATGGGTCTGGTCAGATCCATTGTCACCCCTACAATGGATGACAATGAAACTGTCCCACCAAAATATGGTTACTTCATTTTTTGGAGCTCGAAAGAAGGTAAAGAAGTCTTATAAGCATTATCCCTTTCTCTTTGCCAACCAACCAGGGATTAAAAACTCGGCGAGTCGGCATGGAATCGGCCGATTCAACTTGGGAATAAATTAGCCCATGCCGGTTCTAGCATAAAATATGGAACCGAGCGATCTTAAAAGAGAACCGGCGATTCTTTCCGATTTACTACAGTAACAAATCACTTTAGCTGTATATTTTGGTACATAGTAGCTATTGGCCAATTAACTTCTATTATATTTTTAAAGAGTACGTATACCATGCTTCTGCTGGACCAGACTATCTATGTGCTCCCTCGGGTAAAAAATATACTTGCAAAAAATTTCTGGATCTGAAAATTTGGTGTCTATTTAAAATTCTTCTGATAATTATCTTTTTGTATAAAATGGATTTGCAGCTCTTTAACACTTAGATTTTTCTGTTCAAAACGTTATCTTTTCAGGCTCATATAGAGTGTGT